TTGTGAATGTGTGTAGATGTGTGTTAGTTACAGGATCAGAGAATGACACTGTTCCTCTGTCATAGTCCAGATACACTCTCACACGCTCAAGATCCTGTTCAAACTGTCCATATCGCACACTCCAGACATCATTGTTATAAAAATCATCTCCCTTCCTCGGGTTTGATGCTGTAGTTACTCCGAGACTCCAGCATGAACTCTGTTTAACCTCCACATCCCAGCAGTGTGTTCCTGAGTTAAAACCCTCTGAACCCAGAACACAGTCATAGATGTCAAACCTCTCTGGATTATCAGGAAGTGGTTGTTTGTTCCCGCTGTATTTCACACTGGTCAGATCCTCAGACAGAACCAGATCTGGATGAGCCGTGTTTGGATCCAGAATCACAGGAGCTGATGAGACACAGTCAACAGATGCTGTTATTCTGATGTTCATATAACGATCAAGAGTGAACCACACACAGATTATTATGAGTTATGACACTCGTGCTGTTGATCAAACACTTCAGATATTTTCCTCTGATCACTATCAGTGTTGTTATAGTAAATAGATCGTCTCTGTCAGAACTGTTATAAGTTTCTTTTCTTTTTTATTTTCAGTGTTTAATGGGATCAACTGCAAACATTAAATTTGTGATTCAAACATTTGTGTCCCATGAAGAAAAAATTATATTTTGGAAACGTTAAAATAAAAATCTAACAATCAGGCCTGTTGAGATTCTCTGCATCATCTGATCATGTTCATTAAACTGGCTCTTACTGTGTGTCTTTGTTTTAAAAATACTTTTTACTGTCTGTTGTGTTTAACTTAGTCATTAATAATCTGTCATTTTCATATTTTAGGATATATTAACATCTCTGTGGTGTAACTGAAGCTGGTTCTTCTGGACATCATTATCCGAGCTGACCCTCATCATTGTTTCTTCACTGGAAAAATCAACATACATGAAGCCATAAATACATGAAGAATTTATTCATTTCTTACGAAATATATTCTTGTAGAATATAGTAAGCGGTTTTCAAGTTATCTGACTGTACTCTTCCACTCGTGAGGTCGGCTTGTTTAATAAACAAATACTTCAATTGTTTTGTGGTAAATATAGTATAGTACTTTGTGTCATTATAAACTGTAGGAGTGCGAGCACAGATCTTCTGCAGTCAGACTCACTGTTCTGAACAATGTCCTGCATCTTCTTCCAGACTCTGAAGCTCAGGTTGCCCAAGTAACGCGGCACATCAATCAAAGCTCCAGAAGGAGTCTGTGGATCCGGCTCTGATGAAATCTGGACTCTGGAAGAACATTAAGGATCAGAACTGCAGTGGCTTTGGATCAGAAGCAGAGAGAGCAGAGACAGCAGCAGATCACTCACCTTTCCATTGAGACTGGAAACTCCTGCAGAACAAACACACAGTTAATCATCAACAACTCAATCAATCAATCAATCAATCAATGATCTGAAATCAGACCTTCAGAAAGCAGACGTCACTGGCTCTCATCATCTCCTCCGTGTCTCTGATTGTGTGTGAAAGAGCTGAGATGTGTCTGTTCATCTCCTCCAGCTTCTCCATCATCTGCTTCTTCTGCTCCTCTTCCTCCCTCAGTGCAGTGATTGTAGCTTCTTCTTCATCTCTGAGAAACTGATGAAGCTTCTCAAACTGCTGTTTAATCTGACGCTCTGTGTGCTCAGCTTGAGACTGAAATCAAACCACATTCACTTCAATCGTCTCCATCGACACACATCAACACAATCACATCATTCA